ATATTCCAAAACACATCACAACGCAGTGTGAACTGTAGTTACAACAGAACATGAAGGGAAAAGAAAAAAATGGTAGGATGATGTAAACGAACAAAGTTTAAGAAAGACATTACTTCATTTTTTTCATTAAAAATTTTAAATTATTTTCATATTTATTTATGTAATTATATATATTATTGATGTAATGTTCGTAAATACTAAATAAATATATATTGTGAAATGATGATGCAAAAAACATGGGTAAAGTATAGTAATGGTCACTGACATTTCTGAAGCTGCATTTAGGTCCCCAACATTTAAAACTTGCCATACAGTCCCCCAACATTTATTCCGTTTGCAATATGGTCCCCCAACTAAACCACAGTTAGAAAATTAGGATAATTATATAAATGGTCATTGAACTTTTCAGTCACTGAATTTAGGTCCCCCAACTTTTAAAACTTGCAAAACAGTCATCAATTTCATTCTAAACCCCAATTTCCAGTAATTCAATTTATTCTAAACCCTAATTCTAAAATACTTAATTAAATTCAATTATGTCAATTTATTATTATTTAATTTCATCTTATTTCATGTGATACGTTTTTATATAAATATAATAGTATAATTCTTATCTGTTGAAGAAATTTTTTAATTAAAAAAAGTAGTTAGGATATAGAGAGGTTGAAAATAATTCGAATTTTAAATTTATAAAAGGTATTTGACGTATAAATAAAAGTGTAAAACTACTCGGTTGACAACTTAACTATCTAGCCCTTTTTACTTTTGTCATCGTCTTTAAATTTATCAATCATACCACATAATTATTTAACTGTTCAACTAAGCCACTAGTCGTTACCAATTGATAAAATGATGATGGCAGTTAAAAGAATTGACATTATTATACATCCAGTCTTATTATTTATATAATCAATTTGGTCCTAAATTAAATAAATTTAATAAATTAATCATTTAATTAGGATCTGACATGTGTTAGCACATGATCATGACACGTCATTGGGACACATGTTACCACCTATTATTTATATATGCTATCAATTTGGTCCTAAATTAAATAAAATTTAATAAATTAATCATTTAATCAGGATCTGACATGTGTTAACACATGATCATGATATGTGTTATTGGTGACACATGTCACCTCCTAATTAGAAGAAAATTAAGTTACAAAGAAGTAAATTTAGGTCTTGGGCAAACTCAAACCTGAGAGTCACGCAAATGAAAGATACAGGGTGGAGCCACTAAGCTAACACCATCGTTTGTGTTAAGAGATATACAATAATACATATACTAATAGTAATGATCAATGCCAGAAAAAAAAAGAATAATTAAAATGGAAATAAGAATTTGAACTTCGGCAAAAATTTGAAAGCAATAAATGATGGAAAATATTATATTTTACAATAAAAAAATATTATATTTGATAAATTGTTTGATAGATTTAATATATTTTTAAATATTATTGATAAATATTTTAAAAGATAAATTTAAGATTTATATATTTTAAACTAAATTTAATAATTATTTTCATATTTATAATTCATGATTATATATAAATCTTAAGTTGAGTATTTCTAATATAATTAATAATTTAATTTCTTATTAAAATAAAATATTCAAAAAATATAAATGATTCAACATTAATATATGAATATATTTTATTTATACATCTAAATATAATATACATTATATAAATATATTTTTATTCGTTGTGTCTGTGCCTTGAACTCTTTCTTCAGCCTATATTACCTTAAATTGAAGTATTTTAGAATTTAATTGAAGTATTTTAGAATTTAGGGTTTAGAATAAAATTGAATTACTTTGGAAATTGGGGTTTAGAATGAATTGATGACTGTTTTGCAAGTTTTAAAAGTTGGGGACCTAAATTCAAGTGACTGAAAGTCAATGACCGTTTATATAATTTATCTAATTTTCTAACTGTGGTTTAAGTTGGGGGACCATATTGCAACGGAATAAATGTTGGGGGACTGTATTGCAAGTTTTAAATGTTGGGACCTAAATGCAAGCTTCAGAAATGTTCAGTGACCATTACTATACTTTACCCTAAAAACATTTTATTTTAATTTATTATTTTGTATGCATAACATCGTTGAGAAATGATTTTGATTATAATATATATATACATTTGTCTAAAATTATAAACATTGATGTCTAAATTAATTATTTATTTTGAAATCCATAAATCTGATTAAATATGTTTGAGTTTAAACAAGATATTTTTCTCTATGTGATATGGAAGGTGCATCAAAAGATTAATATATATATATATATATATATCTAAAAATGTATACAGATTTTTTATAAAAAGAAGAAATACAAACAGTACATACCAAAGATGCATGTTGACACAAGTACATACTGAACGACGGTAATATATGTATGAATTTTATTTTTAATCGTTAAAGAAATATGTTCAAAAGATTATATATAAATACTAAAAATATTAGTAATATATATTAAATGATATTTGTATTATTATATTTCATATTGGTTAGATATTAATTTTTTAAGTTTTTAAATATAACATTTTGGACATTAAAATATATTTGTATTGTATTGATTCATACTGTACTGATATGAACGCCGTGTTTTCTCTTATAGGATAAAGTTATTTTTTTCTTATAATTTTTATTTCTTTATTGGATAAAGCACAGAAATGGTCATCCGATTATAAGGTGTTATTTTATTGATTCTCTCGACTATTAAAAAATTATAAAATAGTCCCAATACTAGGACGTTATTTTGTTGAGTCCCTCAACTATTAAAAGTTTAAAAATGGTCACTTGACATTCATATATTTCAAACTCATCCATTTTTGTTAAAAATTGATGACAGTCTAAGGTAGAAATTAACTTGTTGACCGATATTCATGATAATCATTTGAGATTTTAAGATCAAATTTTATCATATCATAGTTAACATATTAACATCCAGCTCAAATTGTCGTCATTTTTAAACAAAATATGACGAGTTTAGAACATATGAATAGTTAGATGATCATTTTGTAACTTTTAATAGTCGGGGACTCAACAAAGCATGTCATATAATCAATATATCATTTTATAACTTTTAATAATCTAGAAACTCAATAAAAATAATGTCTATAATCAAAGGATCATTTTATATATTCATAAATTATTTTGGTCCTATGATCATGTCATGTACGCAAAAAAAAAAATCATCCAATCATTAGTACATGCTTTTAGTTTAAAGTGTCATGTACATAAAAGTACGTCTAATCATTCGCATTTTATTAAATTTAAGGGTAAAGTGTAGTATGGTCACTAAACTTTTCTAAAGCTTTATTAAGGTCCCCTAGCTTTTAAAACTTGTAATATAGTCCTCCAACATTTAGTCCATTTGCAATATGGTCCTCGACGTAACCGGCCGTTTGACGCCGTTACATTGCCGTTAGTAGATTTGCAATATGGTCACTAAACTTTTCAAGCGCTTACATTTAGGTCTCCCAACTTTAAAACTTGCAACATAATCCTTAATTTCATTCTAAACCCCAAATTCCTTTCGATCTCGATTTTCATTTTTTTGCTTCTCTCTTCTTATTTCCAGCGTAACTTTTCATTCGGGGATGTATGGAAAATTTTAATCTAACTTTGAATTATGTGGAGGTGTTGACTTGAATACGGGTTCATTGAGAGAAGACCCGACCAAGGGAATATCGGGACCATCAACGATTCAAGGTGTAATGTTAGATACAAGTCATCTCAGGTGAAGCATAAATGTTGATGAAATGCTTGTGAAAAAAATGGGTTAGAAATGCAGAGTTGACAAATACTACTAAGATGAACTAAGTATCATTGTTGAAAGTCACCAACAAAGCTGGAATTATTTTGTATAAATGACATATAATAATTTCTTCATTTAATTTGTGTGGTTAAAGATTTTCCAACAGATGATCAAATATAATGAAATCTCAAACAGGGCATTCACCTCTCAGTCTCTTTCGCTCACATGCACTCTCGTTTGGTTTTTGTTCTTTAATTTTCCGCATGTAAAATTGTAAACCCAAGCAGTGATATGTCTTTCAGCTTTTTATTTACAAAGAAAAAATGGAGGAAGAATTGCTGGAATGCAACATCGATTGTTTATTTCTTAGCCTCTCCCCTCACTTGAAATAAGGTATTTATTTTCTCTTTTGGGCTATCCGAAAGTAAGCTTTTCCTCTTTCGCACTTTCCCGTTTTCAGCTCGCATTGTGTGTTTTTGTTGAAATTTTTATGTTTATAGAACTGCATGTCAATGATCTGGATATTCAGTGTTAGTTTTGAACCAAAACAATCTAATTTTCTTTCTTTCTTCTTAATAAAAACTTTTAGTACTCCTTATGAAAGATATTAAGCCCATCAGAATAGAAGTCAAAGAGGGTCCTAGGCTAAATTTTTTGATCTTCTTGTTTGGTTTATCTTTAAATCAGGGAATTGGTTGTGAGTATCGACATAGTGAAATCGTCAGGTTCAATCCGAGAGACTGCTAGTACTAGTTTACTGGGAATTGTATTGATCCGACCTGTGATTTTCAGCGTCTTGTGAGCTCGTATTCTTTTAATAAGTTCATGTTGATTATGAGACTGATATATCGTGAACGAATTGGATTTTTTACATGTTTTGGAAATTGAGAACTGTGTTGCAAGTTTTAAAAGTTAGGGGACCTAAATGAAAGCGCCTGAAAAGTTCAGTGACCATATTGCAAGTGTACTAACGGCAGTGTAACGGCGTCAAACGGTCGGTTACGTCGGGGACCATATTGCAAACGGACTAAATGTTGGAGGATTGTATTACAAGTTTTAAAAGTTTGGGGACTTAAATGAAATCTTTAGAAAGGTTCAGTGATCATTACTATACTTTACCCTAAATTTAATTTGAAGAGTATTATTTTAATAAATAATTTATAATGAATGTTGTTTTGATATATTTTTTTAAAGATGTACTATATGGGTAAAAGTTCTCTAGTTAGCTGATAACTGATTAACGCAACTATCACTGGAATTCAAGGCCCTAAAACTATGAAAGAAAACGCAAGACCAGAAGATTCCAATCCTCTGTCCACCGTAGACGACATCCAAAAACGCCTCCTCCGCCCTGCCGATCTTCATTCTCCCTCGTACCTTATTTTTTTCATTTTCCAAATCTAACTGCTTTGGGTTTCTGCTTTGGTTTAAATTGCAAATTTTACTTTTTTTCAGGGAATGTTTAAACTCTTCGACATTGAATTTGAAAAAGAGCGGAACGGTTAAAAAGAAGCTGGAAGATTACCTAGATCCGATCCTTCTGGCGGCGCTCTCATCCAAAATTGGACGTTCAAAGAAGGCAAAATTAGAGACGATGTTCAAGAGAGATGGTCTCGGATTTGAGTGGCCTGTTGACGAACTCAATTTGTTTGCGGAAGAGGATTCAAGCAATTCTAACAGAGGCAGCCGGAGAAACGAAGCCTTTGATCTCAACTATGATTTCGATGTGATCGGCGATGGAGACGAAAATATCCGTTCCTCGTTTCAGCGTTTCAGGAAAACGGCGTTGAAAAAATTTGAACATTGAAGACTTGAAAATGCAAAAACGATTCAGCTGTAGTTCGTTAGTGCATTGAAATTGGTGAAGGAATTCGCGAGCTAGCTTGGATCAAAGGTTAGCTTCCTCATCCCCCTATGTTTTCTTTCAAATTGTTGATGTTTTTGCAGTTACCATTTTTGAATCTTAGAAAACCATAATGGCATAATCTACAGGTTTTAGTTTTCATTGCTTAATGCGTATTAGATCAGCTATTCGCATCAATGAAGATTGATGTCTACAAGCAGCTGATTTATTGTGAATCTTTGGTTTTCTATGTTGCCTTTATTTTCCTCAGGTTAAATCTCTAAAATTAAAATAACAAGACCAGACCACGCACTTGTTTAATCGAGTCCTGCTCAAACTTTGGATGATCAGTTTTTACCTTGGGTTAATCCCTCTAAATTCAAATTAAATAAAAATAATTCTAGAATTCATTTACATCAGAATAAAATTAGTTGTTTTCTATTCTTCATTTTCTTTTAATCCTATTAATCTTTTAACAAGTTGAATATTAAATTTTATGATGATGTTGTCACTCTCAACAAGAACAGACGAGTAACGTTAATGATGAGAACCATTAAATTAATTTGTAAAACGTTAAATTATATATTACTAATTGTATAATTATTAATTAGTTAAAAATCTAAATGTAATTTAAATTAAAATATAATATTTATAAAACATTAGTTTTTAAGATAAACTATACTATTGACCACCTAATTATTTATCCTTTTTACTTTAACCACCGATTTTTTAATTTTATCAATCGAGTCACCTAATTATTTAAATCTTGTCAATGAAGCCACCTGCCGTTAAATATTAATGGAGGAGATGACGTGGTAGTTAATAAAATTTGTATAATCACACATTTAGTCCTCATTACTTACATAATCTATTAATTTGGTCCTAACTTTTATTTAATTCAATAACTTTAATCATAAATTCGATTGTGACATGTGTCACTGTATGATTGGATTTCTTTTAATATTTTTATTTAATAAATTTTCCATTCAATCAAATGGTGCCACATGTCAACAGATGAATGAATAGAAAATAAATTAAATTAATAACCCTACTAGTGGGGTTTGAACATGAGATGCAAGCCGAAAAACTGATCGTCCTAACCACTAAGTTGAACCACTAAATTTGTCTAGTATACAAAACATAATCTAATTTATAATATAGTTAATGGAAATAAATGACATTATAAAGACTCAAACATGTAATAATTGAATAGTATAAAAATTTTAAATATATATAAACAAATATTATAATTGATTAATAAATGAATATGTTTTATTTACATTTTAAATCACATTTAATGCTAAAATTAAAATAAAAGTAAATTTAATATGTTATAATTGAAATGTATCCTATCTTATATTTGAAAATATTATAACGTCGATCGGATTCTAATCTTATTTAACAACTCCATATTAAAATAGACTAATTCAATAAAATCAAGTTCCCTTAAAATTTTCTTCAAATATATAATGAATAAATAATAAAATATAAAATTCTTATTCTAACCAGGGTATAAACAAATCAACGCATAAGTTAAAATGCTTACTACGATAAGCCCTCAACTATCAGGAAAATTCTAACTCAACGAATATATTCGTTATATTTCAATTATAATATATTAAAATTATTTATTTTTCATTAAAATGATTTAAAATGTAAATAAAATACATTCACATGTTAATCAGTTATAATATTTGTGTATATATATCATATTATTTTATTATTCAATTATTCCATGTTGGAGTTCTTATTAGGTCATTTTCCTTTTTTTTTGTCATTAATTATATATATTATGTCGTGATATGTTTGTCATTTGAATGGTGCAGCCCAGTGGTTGGGGCGTTTTCTTCCTCTCTTCACGTCTTGGGTTTAAACCCCATCGGTAGTGGTTATTGATTCAATTTATTTTCTATTCATTCAATTGGTGACACGTGGAACCATTTGATTGGATGGAAAATTTATTAAATTAAATAAAAATATTAAGATAAAACATCCAATCACATAGTGAAACATGTCACCATCTGATTGAGGATTAAATTTATTGAATTAATTAAAAAGTTAGGACCAAATTAATAGAACGTGAAGTAATAGGGACTAAATGTGTAATTATACAAATTTATTAACTACCTCGTCATCTCATCGATTAATATTTAACGATAGGTGACTTGATTGACAATATTTAAATAGTTAGGTGACCCGATTGACGAAATTAAAAAATCAGTGGTTAAAATAAAAGGGGTAAATAGTAGGTGGTCAATCGTATAGTTTACCCTAAAAACTAAGATTTTATAAATATTGTATTTTAATTAAATTACATTTAGATTTTTAACTAATTTATAATTATACGTTTAATATTTTATAATTTAACGTTTTATAAATTAATTTAATGGTGCTCATCGTTAACGTGTTCATCCACACTCGACGAGCGTTGTAGATTTTTTTTTATGCTCTATTCAAGCAGAATATGTGACCAAATTTGAATAAATTAAAGGGTAAACTATCAAAATAGTCATCGTTGTTTTATTTTTATTTACCTTGGGTCATCGATTTGTAAAAATAATACGCCCTCCGTCCCATTATTTGTATCTTATATTGATTATGTATATAGTTTTAGGAGATGTATTTGACAAGGAAAATGACAAATTTATCCTTAAAAAGTGATTGATAGATTTGATAGATTTTTTTGATAGGTGTAAAAGAGTGAGACATACAATGGTAAAAAAGGAATTATAAGTGTTATTGTTTGTTGACTTTTCAAATATAATATTTGAATGATACAATTTTAAAAACAAAAGGAGACATATTTAGGAAGACAGATGGAGTATTAATTTTTAGTCATTGTTATCAACATTAAGGTAATTCAGACATTAAATGATATTAGGTTTATGACACGATATCTTACTAAAAAGGGTTAATTTTTAGTTTAACCTATAAATTTTAGATAAATATCAGTTTGACCATTAAAATTTAGATAAAGTATTAATTTAGCCATTAAATTTTAGATAAAATGTCAATTTAATTCATGAGACCAAAGTCCCTCACCATTTGTCGCCACTCACTATCATCATTGGTTTTTTTTCAAGTCACAAATGAAGGCAGTGTTATTAACAGTGGGAAAGTCTCCTTCCCATGGACCCCTGATCAGATTTAAGAATACCATGAGCTTCGCCATTTTGTCTGCAAGCTTGTTAGCTTCGCGAGGTATGTAGCTGAACACGACGTTCCATTGTCGATCGAGAGGATGCCGAATGCGGCGGATAAGATGTGGTTCGTAATTCTGGCCGGTGGAGTTAAGGCACTGCACCGCTTGAATGATATCTGATATTCCACGACCGTTTGGCGGCCAGTGATAGAGGGAAGACTTGTGCTCCCTGATTTTGGATTTTATATACATATAGAGGTATGTGTATCACTTAAGCTTATGCCCATAAGCTGAGAAAGAGTGGAGGAAGAGCGGTTTTAATATATTTAAATAGATAATAATTATAAAAAGACCAAAAAAATATAACTTAATTGTACTTGCAACCTTTTTTCTTTGAGATTGCAGTTTTCAGTTAAAACAATAATATCAATTTACATAAATAACTCAGCAACTAAATCATCTCATATTAAAACTAACCAAAACTCACAAATAATTTGCGTTAGTGTAGCATGCGGCATGCAAACATTATCTCATGAACCCAATGCCTTGTTGGCCCATAATTAAAACATGAATGGTTAAATACCGATAAATGATATTGATTCAGATAATATATTAGGAAGGAAAATCCAATTAATACTTTCCTTAAATTTAATAAAATTAACAAACGAAATGTAAAAACAATTCTTAAAATTACTATTAAAATATTCATTAATAATAAAAATTTTAGATTTTTCCCAAATTTAGAGAATTATTATTATTCTCTTTCTCTGACCTCACGTGGCCGCTCAACTATTTAGGTGACTAAATTATAATAGTACTTTTTATTTAAATGTCCTTTAACTGTCTTTTAAATATAATAATACTTTTAATTTTTTTTCAAAAATAACTTTTTTTAAATTATTTGGACGTGATACATGTTATTCAACGAATATTTTAATAACCATCGTGACTAAATCACTTAAAATAATAATATTTGTGACGTTAAGTACTCAAATTATATATTTTGAACATTTCTTAAGCCCAAATTTAATAAAATTAATAAAAAAATAAAAAAAAAATCTTAAAATAACTATTAAAAATTAATTAATAATAAATAGATTTTCTCAAAATTAGAGAATTATTATTATTATCTCTCCCCAACCCCACGTGGCCCCTTAATTGTTTTCTTTTGACGAAGCTTCATGGAAGCTGCACTCAAGTAACTCCTACTCAGAGCACACTATATTAGCTTATTTTTGAACACATCAACATAATATTCTGAAACGGTTGTTTTTGTCACTCTCTGCACTATTTCTTCTTCTTCTTCTTCAAATTTGTTTACTTTGCCTTGTTTGTTTGGCAAACGAGAAAACTAATGGCTTCTCTGACAGAACCATGGGTAATGGAAAATGGAAACCTGAAGGGATCGAGCAGGGAGAATCGCCATGGAAGGACTGCACATAACATGTCGACGTCTTCATTACGTAAGAAGTCGGATTTGACCCTTGTTTCCAAGGTTCGATGCGGAATCCTTATGCGGTTGTTGGCCAATCTTCAAGAGGTCATTTTAGGAACTAAACTCTCAGTTCTCTTCCCTGCTATTCCATTGGCCATTGTTGCTCACAGCTATGTGTTTGCAAGAGTCAGTTCCTTTCCCCTCTTTTTTTCTTTGTTTAAGTATTGATCATAATATTTAATACGTATTTTCCTTTGAAAATTCTACTGAAATTTTATGATTTTGTCTTGTAAACAGCCCTGGGTTTTTGCGTTGAGTTTACTTGGGCTTACACCACTGGCTGAACGAGTTAGCTTTCTCACCGAGTAAGCCATATATGATTTTATT